TGGCTCAAAAGCCTGACCCACAAGGCAGTGGGGAGCAGATCGAGCTCGGGGATGGGATTACAGAGATAGGTTTGGATCTGCTTGACGGCCATCACACGCAACCTTTGAGGTACTGGAACGATTCATACATGTATTACGACCTTAGTAGGATACGCACCTGCGACGACGGCCAGATGCAGGAGGGTTTAGGCGGGTTTGCACCAAATTGACCAGGGGCTGCTTGGCTTGAGGCAGACAGTACCAAACCATTGAACACCCGGAAGTGCCCTCCCACTGTCAGAGACAATGCGTGACGGTCGTGCTATACGCTAATCGAGCTGTGAGCTTATAACCCGTAGACCTGTTGTCTCCAAGGGCTAGGTTTTATGGGAAGAGGGTCATCGACCACTTCCTAACCTCCGAAGAGGATGGACTAGGATACTGCCAGGGCGCGCACACCTGACAGGAGAACGACTCGGGTCCTCAGCCAAAGCCTTCGATTAAATGAACACCCGAAAGGCAGCGGGTCTAGCACATGGTCAGTTCACTGACTCGTGTGGATTGTTGTCCTGGATCTTAGCAGGGAGAAGGGCGTCCAGGATATATATATATATATATATATATATATATGCGACATCCTACGAATAAGCATGGGACAATCCGAAACCATGGAACTCAAAGCAATGTACGGACATCGTTAAAAAACACAACACTGAGGAGTCTATGGTTTCGTCAGAGGGCAAGGTACTACCCAGTTACCCAAGTCGAAGTAGGGTGTTGACTTAGGGGACAACCCCCGAACCTTTGGCTGATTGGTCTGCCCGCAAGGCAGTGGACAGAATTCAGGGAATCGCGCCCATTGGGAGCCGGTGACTGATTATCCAGTTCATACGCCATTCGTGTGTTTGTTTACCAAACAGGGGACTAATGACATCCATAATGTCAGTATTAAGTTGCTGGAATGCAATGCTTCGCCGATTACGGTGCGGTCGCGTACCAGAGAGTCCCGAATACAATTACAGAAGTTGTACGTTTGCGCCAGAACTTTCAATTCTGTAATGTACGTCTCGACTGACTCATGCGGTAGCCGAATGCGACCAAAAAACAGGTATCTTTGGTACGTTTCATTTGCTTGACCTTCGCAATATTCGTCAAATCTTGAGTATCTCCCAGATGTCCGAGGCTCCTGTACCTCGACATCACTGAGATCCAAAGTCCAAGTACTCGATTAGTATCGTCGCCAATAGAGTGTCTAGACACAGAAATCCAACGGAGTCAGCGTGACGAAATCCGTCCACTTAGCTTTCCACATTCTCCAGTTGTCAGGCAGCGTGCTTTCCGTCATCTGTAGAGCAGTCGGCAGCGGGATCGACGGCTGTCCACCAAAAGCGAGCGGGGTCCGGCGCGTCAGCTTCTTCTCCTCTGTCACCATGTTGCGTGCCTGGTTCTCCCAGCCGCGTCAAGAGAAAGAACTCACACCGGCTCTGCACACAAGCGTTCTATTCACAAGTCTGAGGTAATGTACAATTAGCTGGGTGTTTAAAAACTCACTCGTCCACTCGATCGATCGCCTGATCGACCGCACTGAGGCAGGCGATTCCCTTCGCCCTAGCTTTCAGTCAGCAACATACCAGAAACGCGATTTTGAATTGTTCTGGAAAATCTGAAATAACATCCGCACTTTGACATCATATTGTACCAAATGATCAGTTCAAGTAGTTGGACTGTAACTCGTAAAGTCGAGAAATAAACATTATCTAACATCTACACTGTTCTACGTTGAACCTTCCGAGGCACTTGCGCCAGTCTTGTGTTTTATGGATTTGCGCGGCTTAGTGTGGGACGGAGATTATCTCTCAACCGTGGTAGTCTGCGAATCGAGACGACCCTTATCCATCGACAGCAGCACTGAGGCCCTACCGGATATGTAGCAGGAGCGACCAGAAGCATAAGATCAGAGATACACTCTGTGCACTGAAAACTGCGCTTCAACCATATTCGTGTAGTCATAGGTTGCATCGATTGATAGAATTAGGTGACCATGGGTGGCCGACATTAGGTAGTAGAACAATGCAACAGAAATCGGCGATATATGTGGATTGTATGTCAACTACTGATAGTGCGCTTCGCATAACAGCACGTATCCAGACTGTCACATATGTATTTCCAGAGATTTAGGTCAGAACTAATCAATCGACACATTGAGACCGACCAGTTCATCCCGCCTAGAGGTAATCTAGTCTGGTGAAGAGATCGATTCGATTATGACCGCTGTCATCGCACGGCCAGATGGATAAGGGAGGATGTGCAGTTTTGCCAAACTAGAGGACATTTCAAACGCGAAACATAGCTCATTAACACGGTGTAGAAAGGAACGACGCACGTAATGCCTGCTCTCACCCAATCCGTATGGAACAATGTAGGATGGAGGTTCAAAAAAATGAAATTTTGTTATAAGATCTTTATTGCTCTTTCCCGTTTATAGCAGTCCCCTCTATTGGCAATGCACCGTTCCTAGCGGTGCTTCCATTTTTCGGAAAGCCTCATGGAACGCAGTTTCTGGGATGGCACGCAGATCTCTTGTTGCATTGCTCCGAATTTCATCGATGATTTGGAAACGACCACTTTTCAACGTCGTTTTAAGTTTTGGAAACAGGAAAAGTCTGCTGGGGCTAGGTCCGAAGAATACGATGGATGGGGCACAAAGGGTGTGATAATTTGCTAGATAGCTGCGGACAAGGATCGACACGTGAGCCGGCGCAATGTCATGATGCAACATCCAAGTTTGGTTTTCACACAGTTAAGGCCTGTTGCTGTGTAAAGCATCCCTCAAACGCGCTAGAATTTGATAGCATGATCCTAAGCTGATGCTCACTGCGCCAGCAGCTTCCCGGACAGTTAAACGATGATTTCCAAGGATCATAGCACGAACTCTCTCGAAATGGTCATCGTCTGTTGTTGTGGAAGCTCGTCCAGGCTTGTGGTCGTCACCGGCTGACATTCTGTTGTGTTCAAAACGCTTAAACCACTTATAGCACTGGGTCCGACCCACACAGTCCGCCTCGTATGTTTGACTAAGCAATTGAAATGTTTCTGTAAAAGTTTTGCCAAGTTGGTAACAAAATTTCACACACACGTTGTTCTTCAAGCGCTTACATTGTCTCTTTGGCACTAATCCAACGAACAGCTTGTGCATGTGCTCACTTCAGCGGCTGTGGCTCGCTAACTAACAGTCAGAGCGAAATGCGGATAATGGCAGTTTGTCGTTTACACAAGCCTGCACATGCGCTCATTAGCCGCAGCGCGATCCCACTGTCAGTTGGCGTACTATTTCAAAAGTTCGGTTTCTATTTGAACACTTCTCGCAGTTACAAGAGAGGAGTGTAAAAGCACTCTACTCAAACAGAATAGCCCGAATAGAATGCTGATCCGAATTCTCCTCCCTCTCTCTCACACACACAGTGATGGAGACGGGACAGGCATTGAAAGTCGCGTTGAAAATGTGACAATTAATCTGTGGAAACAAAAGCAAGCGGTAGTAAACATTTATCTGCTGACTAGCTAGAACGTGCGAATCATCCGATCGAATAACCTTGGCTACAGTGACTAGGCTAACACAGACATACGCTGGAGGCTGGGTGTTGCCCCCCCCCCCCCCGAAAACACTTCTTGACACTACGTGTTTCAATCTTGTTTCAACTCACCAGGTAGAGATAGCAGGCTTGATGAGACCAAATAAGACTGAAACGTGTAGTGGAGTTGAGTGTTTTCGGGCGGCAACACATAATTCCCATACGCTTCAGCTACGGTTCTAGTGATCGAACTGGTCAAGGTTCGCCTCAATGTGAATCACGGTCCACAATGAGGTTACAAGTCGTTAGCTAATCACACAACCAGTACCTCAAAATGACCCACAGAAACGATGTTTACTAAGTAAAGGAATCCGTGACAGAGCGTGGTTCACTCATGCGGCTCCAGTGCCGATTTGCAGATACTGAAAAAATGAATGCAAGAGAATTATTTAATGGAAGCAGAAGTCGTTGAAAACGTAGGGACAATATCGGCTTAAAGCCCACAGGGGTGTACATGAAGTTACTCAACAGTAGAAAAGGAGCTCTCAGTCGAATAGATGCGATCTACAGTTAGGTTTGACTTATTTGTGGTTCGTCCACAAGTGGAATTAATGAACAAAGGAGGTTCACCATTGGAGTGTGTGTGGAGGGTCAGGTTAGATCAATTTCATTGTCATTTGATGCTACAAGCAAAAGTGAGGATGAATGGTCTGTGTGTCATTCTAAGTTGAATGTTCAGTGCAGTGGGAATAACAGCCGTATATGTCACATCACTGGGACTTGCAATCGCATGACGGTAGGCGGAGCATAGAAAAATAATGGTATGGGCCCTATCTAAATACCCAAACGCACAGTTAAAAAAGAACGATGTTCCACCCGGTAGCAAGGCTGTAGAAAAATTAAACAATGTGTTCAAAATCGTTGCATCGATGTGCTGCATCACAGAGCTACTCGAACACGGGACGAATATCGTGGGAGCAGCTTTGCGTACCCACTAAACAAAGACTAGATAATGCGGCGCGGTTACACATAGGTTCAGTTCAAGTCCCGTGTAATTCAGCTCAGGAAAGGTGAAACTCGGTCAGCTGGCAATCCAACTTTCGTTAGCCATTAAAACCTTGGAGTAGATAAACGGGGATAGCAAAAACACGAAGTTTGTGAGGATAGGTATCCAGGTGTAAGTATGCTAACTTCTGTTAAAAAAGAGACGCTGGTTTGTCTGATGATAATAGTGGTATCCGCCAAATGCCCTATACTCCGAGACTAACGAGATATATAATCACAATGCGCCCTTTTCAGTGGAGGGCCAGAGGTTAGCTGAAATTGTCAATCCAAGGTCGGTAAAACACAATCAGAAAAACTGGAAACAGTGTCTAAAACGACGACAACAAAGACGGTTTTTCAAATTATTAAATCAGCCAACGAAAACAAAAAGCAACTTGGGCTCACGTCGACGATGGGGACGGAGGCACACGAAAGGAGCTGTGATGAATGGAGAAATTAAGAGGTCCTAACGCGGAAAAACTCATATGGTGGATGGAACAGGATTACCAGATAAGCGTTTACTGACGGGAAAGGCAAACGTATTTGGGAAGCGAAATGGTACATTTTCTAACTGTGACACCCTTGTGAAATATACGGCCCGAATTCTCGCTTAGGACAGAGAGCAAGGTTATTCCAGTGATGACAATTCTTGACGCTCAGAAGGAACGAACAACCGTGTGCGCGCAAATAGTCTCCAGAGCCTAGGACGAAACTTAGGCTTTGAGGGAAAGTTCGCCGGAGTTGGACCCGGTTTCGGATGGCCGATCGCTGGGGCGAGATTGGCTTGGCCATTTAGACGAGCACAATGAAGAGAACACCTTTATTACGAAGTGGGGAGGGAGTGGTGGTAAGACTGACAGCTACATAGACCCCACCAGAAGCGGTAAACTGCTGCCTAAGAAGAACAATAAACAGTCATGGAGTACGCAGCATTCGCATATAACCCTTTCGAGACAAGATGCATAAAATAACAGTCAATTATGCTAGATAGGAGGCGGTTATTATCAGATAGTTATGAAGTGTGAATGGAAAGGAAATTAGATGACAAGCATCAACTTCGTTCTAAGGAGGGACCAACGTAAAAGGTACGCAGGGGCGACGTCCCGGTGTTTCGCTGCTACGCGACTAGTACTAGCTGTGCGCAGGTTAGGGATAAGTAATCCGTAACTATGCTGATTCTAACCGGTAATCTTTAAATGGCAAGGTGGCTTTATTCCAATAAGCCACCGGCTGAGTAAAGTATTCATGATTAACTTTCTGAGTAACTTTGACCGCATGCACCGTATGCACCGATTGATCACTAAGAACCAGACGAATGAGAAAACGATGTGTTTCGGTGGAAGCGGCCTAACAGTCATCACTACCAGTGATGCATCTCTACAACGACTATCTAACAAACATCAAACACACGTTGAGTTTTCTTTCCACAGTCCACAACGAAAGAAGCGAGTTAACTACAACACCGTGGTTGGTACCAACATGGAACTATCGCTCCCTCGTATCACTGCTGTCACGATTTTTATCACACCAATTATGCAATATGGTTCACTCGGTTTGACGTCACTTCAGGTCAAAAGCGAAGCGTCGTCGTGCACATATTGACAAAAGTGTGAGCTCTGGATGGGCTCGGAAAGTATCTTGTGATTTCATAGCGCTTAAAAGTTCGTTTTCTAATCCTTCGAAATGGTGGTACACGAACTCCCATGTCACCTCATCGACGGCGACTCAAACTCCAACCCAATAGTCACGGGTGATAAGCCCAGGCGTGCGCTCAGTGTGACAGCATTCGGGTGATCTGTCTCCCGAAAGTGATGGCCCCTGACGCTTCTAGTCCAATTCCTCAACAACACCCTTGTGAAGGGTTCCGAACCTGAAGACTTCTGTCAAATCCAAAAGCCAAATTGGTTAGATAGTGTCCTTCTGGTTGACGTTGGAGCAATCAGTTTGTCCCTATGTTTGGTCGGCGAATGCATCGCACTTTGCTTGCGGTCTTATTGGAACACACTATTAGTTCCGGTAAATTTATAGAATAAAGAAACTAGTTTAGACGGTGAAAAGAAAAGCGCTGCTGTGTGTCTTCTGTCGCAAAAACACGATGCACTGTTGACTAGGTAGTAATGTTTGAATCATGGGTAAATGATCCAGAGGCAAATGGCCCAGCTGGATTTACTAGCTGTCTATGTGTGCTCGCAAAATCATACCACTTCATTCGCACAGAGATTTTGTTCGTCACTTCATCTACTTCGTTACCCTTCTTCAGTTGCTCCAATAGCCTGAAATGGTGCAAAACAATTGCCAAACCAGAGGGGATAAGTGAATACCTAATTGGCCAACAGTAGTTGGTTGTTAGCGGAGCATCAGTCTGGCACCTCAGCTTAGTACGCCAAGTAGAATTAACCAACCGAACGATATCATTCTCACTGCAGCTCAGCGGGTGTGCCGAGTCCCCGTAAGCTTAATCCAGTCGAGCATATATGTTCCCACATTGAGCAATGTTTCAAACTGGTTGGAAAAGGTACCCAATTAAATCAAGTCAAGCATGGGTGAATATACAACTGTTTTCAGCAATGTAACAAAAGAAGCATGATGTAGAAGTAAATAAAAAGTAGACTACAAAAGAACGAACACAATACCGAAATACTGTTAATTGGCAGATTGATTCTCGAATGACGTTGTCGGCTTAGAACAAAACATCGCGCAAGATAAGGAATTATTGATGAACGATAAGCTCCTATTCAGGGATACACGGACGGGGACCTCTGTCTGGTTGATGAGGTCGACCTCACATTCCAGTAACGCGCTATGAAGAAGGTGACTTATCTCGTCACGTATCGTTGACGCTAATTTCTTGCAACAACTAACATGAGTGAACAAAAGCATGCTAACAAAAGTCAGTTTTGGAACAGAGCAACAAAGGGAAAGTGTTTTAACGTACTGAGGATTACTTTGGAATAATTACCCAAGAGAGCGGGAAAAAATCAATGGAGAGCAGTATGTGCAGATCGGAAAAAGATAATGACAAAAGAAAGTATCAGATCACAAGGGACTGAGGAAGCTCATAGACGACAGACGTGGAAGGACAATCCACTGAATTATGTGAATGTTGCATTCACACGAGGCAACCAAGCTAAATCGTAGTATGACGCCCATTTACATCAAGGATTTAGAAGAGTGTAAACCCTCCTATACATGTGGAGTATGTGATACCGTGTGAGAAACTGCTCGTATCCAGTAAGAAAACACCATTGGAGTTTGACTCATTAAGTGATAGCTCAGGGGTTTTCAATCAAACCGATGGGACACAAACACAGGTGATATATTCGATTATAAAGTTGAAGAAACAGAGCACGATGGAGCAACCGTAACGCGTGTCGATTTTCATGGTGAACTCGCGAGTAACACCTCTTTGTTATAGTGGCAGTTTCAGTGTGGGAATCAAACGATTCCCAATGTCATCCAAGGATAAGTAGAGTCGTAAACAATTGTATACAAGTTCAAGTCAGAGTAGACGACCGTCGCTTGTTCCGTTGCCTTACGAACAACAAAAGTGTGGTAGAAGCTAGACTCATCGGCTTTCGTTGCTTATACCTAACCGAGGATCAACGGGCGATCGCAGCACGATGTTCATGAGGAATTTGTAGGGAATAGAGATAAAAATGACAGTCGCCAGACCCTCCAACAATGTTTTTGTCAAACATTCGATCATCCCATACCAAGGAGTATCCCTTTTGTCAGAGTAGAAATTCATTCAATTTCTTTCATGCATCACTCGTGTCCCTCCAAATAACAATAATTGAACAGTTTTCGCATCTGTTTCTGATGAGACTTTGACCGATGCTTTGTACATAAGTCTAACTACATAATCATGCTAACACAAAGGTGCTTCGCATCTTAGAGAACAAACGTTTATGTGTTTATTCTAAATAACACTGATGACAGTAAACAACCGCTAACCCGATGGTTTAGTTCCAGTGTTCTATGTAGAGTTTGATAAAGCGGCCAGACTAACTATATTTGAGTCACCAACAGTTCAGCCTCGGCGCAGTAATGTTTCAAGACTTTTCTCCTTGTTCCATTTCAACAGCGCAAGTTGAAATCGGGTTTCCCCGATCTCACAAGTTGTGACATCAATGTCCAGCCGGTCAGGCGAGGAACGGCGACACGTTGCACAGGTACACTGCTCATTCGGAACGTGCGTCCCAGCACCAAGGCCACCGACCCTATGCGCTTAGTAGCTGTCCAACGCTACCAGCTATAGGTGTACCTATAGATGTTTGTCCAGGACCCGTGCACCAAATGAGTCGATGAAGTACCTGGCATCTCCAGGTAGTAGTAGTTCTCCTCGTCTACTTGACATCTGCTGTTCAGCAACGCGGCCTATAAATCCTAGGATCCCGAACCAGATAACGTCTCAAAGTGTTGTATACATCTAGGGAGCATCAGAGAGATGGCAGCTATGTGCTGAAGCATTGATCACTAAGCGGGTGCATTTCTGTGATACCTTGGGGTCTACCAGTGTAAGCAACCCTGTTTTGACCTATGAAGCATTTAAGGAGATCAGCAAATAATAGCACCTGGAATTGGTTGGTTGTCATGATCTGTATTCAACAAATATTTCGCCTCAAAAGTATGCCAACGCAAATAATGCATCTCGATACAATCAAACCACAGTGATAGATCAGCGGAGTCAATAAGCTGGGGGCAATGACCTTGTAGGCAATTTCACGATTGCAAACGACTAAGGAGTGAGGAGTGGAGTCCTTTTAAAACTGCTGCAAGATCAGATCCGATTATCGATGTCATCCCAACTTGAAATTAAGATCTGTGCCGATTGGAAGCGCAAAATTAGTGGGACCAGAAATCCATCGCTCTCTCACAGCAACAAGGGAATAAACGAAGAACCGAAAACTGGCCGAGCATCAATCGGGAGAGACTCACTTGAGTTCGTATACCGAACAAAATAGTGTGCCAAGACTGGTGAGCGAGCTGTTGCTGCGAATTGGACAAATGTAGTGGTGTGGCGCGTGGAGATTGCCTAGGGATACTGCAACGGAACAGGAGCAAAAGACGAATGCAATGCAGTTACAGTGCTGGGGGAAGCTAGTGAACAACAAAAGCTATTTGATCGATGCTAGCTTCTTTCCCTACACAGCATTCACCACAAGTTTATTTGCCACAGTTCTACTTTCGCTTACTGGCCCCACCCGGTTTGCACTTCCACCCGCCACTTCGCTTATTCGAAATGGTACTCTAACTGTGTATCTCGAGGCCGATGCACCGTTTGTCACACTTGGTCATCACACCTGCGCTGAACATTAAAAGATTAGATACGCCAGTGTGCATGACTTACCAGGTCGGTGTTCAGTTAACAGCGAACCTTTTGAAAACCACCATCCCGATTACTGGCTCCAGATGTACACGGTTTTCGTGACCACACCATAGTCAGCGTATGCTTCATCATGGATTAAGCTGCTGTCTGGTGTGCGCCGAGTTGGTTCGGTACACGTACTGACCTGCCTTTGTTCCAAATGAGTGGACATTAGTTGCCACTGTGACACTGGTCAGCTGCGCATAAATCGCTAGTACTATCGAGTTGCATCGTATACATACAGTGGTAAGATTCCATTACGGCTGTATCTGGCCGTTGGTATGTGGATGTGGCTACCCGTTTGGATTGTATATGTTGGGTGAACGTGAATCGGCCACGGCACCATTGGCACTGTTATCCTCACCCTTCCAGCATACATTACTTCCATTTTCACTAGAAATTCGACGTCGAAGAGGTGCACCGCAAGCGCCTTTTAACTCCAGTATGGACACAAGCTCGCTCTGGTTGTCCGCAACAACATCCGAAAGTGGACGATGGGGGCCCAAGGTTCAACACTCGCTCTCCTGTTTTCCTGTTGAGCTTCCTCTAAGCAAATGCACCAACGTCCCTTGTTGCTCGCTGGTTACAGTCCGTTTTCTTCTAATGTCTTCGATTCTGATCCATTGATTTTGCTATTACGTTCTATTATTGACTCGATTCATTACTGATGGACTCATCCTGCACAACAACTTCAATGCTTTTGTGCGCGGGACAGGTAGATGTGCACAGAACGTTTGTAAATCATTGCTTCGTCTTGCTGGATTCCTATGACGTATGAATGCCATGTGTGATGTTCCCCGGTGATCCCAGTACAAAGCATCAACAGTACACCGGCACACAGTACCGACGATTCGCTGCCATGCGACCTCCAAGTTGCACGAAAGCTGGATTTGCCGCGCAGTCGGCCGCACCTACGTGGATTCGAACCGCTGACCTTAGCTCAAGCCAGTCTTAAGTGTGGAATTTAACCAGATGTCCGGTCTTTCGGGTTGATACAAGCTTCTCATAACAACATGGAGCGACCTCATGAGGTAAACCGTAACTAGATTGCCTTCTTTCTCTCTTATACTGGACACCCCGCCTCATCTGCTTTTGGGTCAATAGTCAATTGCTAGCGACATAAATTACACCCGCATAGAATGCACATGCCCCGTCGTGGTGTCGTTGAAAACACACTTTCATGATTTCAATAAATCGGAATACCTGCAGCTCGGGTTGTCTTTTCAGGATTTGGTCTGTTCTCCGAGCTGGACACTTTCGTTGCAGACGTTTCATCCATAACCGAGGTGACTTCGTCGGTGTGTAATAGACAAACTCAATCGTTTGTGGACGCACGACCGAGTGAGGTCTGAAATTGACCACTTCGATTCACGTCCCATGACCATTACTAGTTGCCGCCTCTTGCGGTCTCACATTGTGAATGAGTCGTCTAAATTCGCTTTATTGCATTTGATGGTAAACTGGATCTAAGTCAATGCGCAGGTTTATTCAATTCTCCGTAGAGAACTACGCCTCGAGGAATTCCCTTCCTTTTCTTGTCTCTCTCTGTGCTAACACCTCCGTTTTCTCCCAGTCAAACATGCGCCCTTCTTCATCAACGTGTGTCGAGACCAATGATGATTAGTGATGGTTTCGACAGGCTCGTTTGTGCTCTTGTAACCTTGTAGATAATTTTCTCCCCGTTTGACCCTGTAAACAACGTTCCGGCGTTCGTGTGCGCTCGTTTTCCCTTCCGTTCTAAACTGGGTTTCTTTCAGAGTGGCGGTTGGTATGCGGCTAACATTAGGTGGTGCGACTTGAGGAGTCGGGCAGTCATTTCTGATACCTTCTTGATGTAGGGCAAGGCGATCCGTTTGGTTGTTGTTGGCTCATGTGTGACATTTGTGGTCTTGCAGTTTTGTGTCTTCGGATGAAATTGCGTGGATATCCGTTGCGCATGAAGAATGTGAACAAATGATTTCCTTCTTCTCGTTTTGCTTCCGGAGTAGTGCAGTGTGACTATCCTGCGAAACAAGGTCCGTATACAGCTGATTTTGTGACATTTTGGATGATTGCTACTGAGATTTAGGATTTGGTCTGTGTGGGTGTCTTCCCTGTGAACTGATGTTTCTAGTTCACCTGCTACACCTTTTCGCAATTGATTGCATCCATAGTGCAGTTGAATTGCTCCCTAAGGCTTTGATTTGCATCCGCAAGCCAACTGAGGATAATCTTTAAAGCATATGAATTGCTTGCAGTATCATTTCGACTCACCAAGCGCGCGCAGTGACCTTGGAATAGAGCTATTCCAAGCAGCCAATGATGGCAGATGTAATAACCCTTGCATGAATGTATGAGTTGGTGGTTTGCGATGGATACGCGTGGGCGTTCTATAGAGTGTTTTATTAATTACGTCCGAAACTAGGACCGGCTGCGCTCACGTGCTGACGTACCTCGGCACGCCGAATTGTCAACTGTCCAATGGCACAAATTGCTCTGCCGAAAGTGTCGGCAGGGGTGAGATGGGACACAAAGGCGGGACCTGTGTGTCCACGATCGCAGGGCACAGCGAGGGAAGCGAGGCCGTTCGGCTGTGAGAAGTGAGTGTTGGCTGAACACCAAAGCCGCAATCGACGTGTCATGCTTCGATCGCAGGGCAGACCAATGGAACTCATGTGATTCGTCTGTGAGAAGTGAATGTTGATCGAACACCAAAGAAACAATCGATCGATTAGCAGATGGCATACACGCAGGTTAACAAGCCAGCAAAAGGGATCCCTGCGAAATGGTTAGTAGCTCGCTGTGCTAGCAATTGAGAATGACAGCCTGGCCCTATGCGATGACCGTTCGATGGGCGGCGGTTGCTATCGCAATATATGGCAAAAGACAATCGCGACATAAGTGTTTATAGCCTCAGGACTGGCTTCTAACAAACCCGGAAGCCTTCACTTCTAAGGGGTATCATACTGCCAGGAGCACTTTCCAATGCCACAGTTTTATTCGCTTTAGACAATGCCCTTAGAGTTCATTCTGCCCCGACGCACTAGTGGCACCATTAGACAGCACACCCATTTAGTCATGAATGCAACTATTGCCTTCACAATCAGACAATCGGTTATTGTACAAACTGAGCATGCCTTCGATGGTGTTTCTAGTGTGTAGTCGAGAATATACGTTTGTTTGTGTTTACTTATATTTACATGAACTGTGTGAAATGTCTGTGAATATCAATGAATTAGGTGTTGCAAGTGCCCACCGTCGTTTTGCTTGCACAGCAACATTCGCCTGATGGTGTTGGCAAGCACTTTATGCAACGTCACCAACGAGATCCTGCTACATTCGTCCGCAGTGTTGTTTTTCAGTTCTTCACTACTCAACCCACATACCGATCGTAAACGGGCCGCGTAACGCAGGGCATAGTGTTGTAGCGCATATGGGGAAACATGAAGCGTGATGTTTATAGAACAACACCCAACAGCGACTCGATAGTACTAGTGATTTATGCGCAACTGACCAGTGTCACAGTGGTAACTAATGTCCACTCATTTAGAACAAAGGCAGGTCAGTACGTGTACCGAACAAACTCGTCGCACGCCAGACAGCAGCTTAATCCATGATGGGGCATACGCTGACTATGGTGTGGTCACGAAAACCGTGTACATCCGGAGCCAGTAATCGGGATGGTGGTTTTCAGAAGGTTTGCTGTTAAATGAACACCGACCTGGTAAGTCATGCACACTCGTGTATCTGATCTTTTAATGTTCAGCACGAGTGTGGTGACCAAGTGTGCCAAACGGTGTATCGGCCTCGAGATACACAGTTAGAGTACAATCCCGAATAAGCGAAGTGGCGAGTGGAAGTGCAAACCGGGTGGGGCCAGTAAGCGAGAGAAGAACTGAAGCAAATAAAGTTGCGATGAAGAACGTATGCAGAAAAAAGCCCGAATCAAGAAGGATAACTGAAAAAATTCCCGGAGAGCAAGCAAAAGGGAGCCGAAAATGAAAAAAAACAGGAACATAGAAGATAAAGCCAAAAGCACATTACAGAAGCGTATGGCAAACGTATCCTCTCAATGTGACAAAACTGTGTTGACAGCGTCCGCATCAAAAGGTTTGTAAGATTTACTAGGGGTGTACACAAGCGGAGGGGGTTTAAAGTGGAAAGCAGATGCCAATATGCTATAGGATTGATGGCTAACGGGAGGTGGATATGAATTCGACAACCCAAACGTCGGTGAATGTGTCGAGTTGTGAATCGCTAGGTAACAGCTCACCGAGATGTAACTGTTGACATCTATCTGACAGCAGGCACTGCTCACTCTAGCAAAAGCAGGTTAACGTTGATAGAAATCCTTGGTTGAAAAACTGCGGTTTCACGCAAGGAGTTCTCAATCAGTGGAAACGAACAGCGTATACCGAGAACAAACCAGAACAGACGGTATGCGTGCTTTACGGATCATGCGGTGACAGCTGGTAGTTTGGATGAGCACAACCGGGGGTGAGAACGGCGAGTACCGCCACATGAACTGACTAACAATGCACGGAGTGGATGCGGAATGCTATCGGTTTATAGTCAGTAAATAGCAACGTGCTTAGCAGACAAAGAGAAGTGGATTCGTTCGGACAAGAATGAGCGAACAGGTGGAGTACGTTACCGAACCTAGGTTAGGGACACGGAGCGCAATGGTGGCTGGTCAACTGGGCGAATGGAACCGATAAGGGACCAGTGAACAGGAATCCAATCATATAACGTTTACGTCAGCTGATCATGACTGCACGAACAATACGGAAGATGTAGAATTAGTGCGGCCTAGCATACACGTAGATTAAATGAAGCTAGAAAGGATAGGTGTGGTTTGGAACAAGCAGATGGTATAGGAGGAAAATGAGGAATTAACAGTGAAAAGCTGCAAAGATGAAATAGCGATTAAAATTTGTGTATGATAAAAATGATCATACTATTTATGAATAACAGATTGTTGATCGCTGACCAGATGTTATTTTCATCTTTGCGGAGCTACACGATAATCCGTACCTGATGACGTTGGGGGAGATACTCGTGAGCGCCCCATGTATCGCCATTTCCACAGCACATAAGTGGAAGTAATCGAAGAATACATCAAAGTGGTGGTGAATTCCACGAGTGGGAGACAGGTGCACACGCAAGTGGCGTTCGTACGCCTTTTCCAACGTTTGCGTTACATTGGCTCTGAGAGAAAAAACAAATGTGGTAGGGATGGGAAGTGTGGATCTAAGGATGGATGAGAGGGAAAAAAAATGAGAAAGTGATGATTGTGAACAGAAATGGTGCACACACTAGAAACCAGTGGAGCAATCCACAATCATGAAAACACAAAAATGGTAGAGTGCGCAACGAGTGTGTGTTTCGGTGAACCGCATCACGCACATTAACTGATGGAGCATTACTACTTAAGCCGGTGGGGCAACGATCAGGAGTACGGGAATAGGGCAAACGAGAATAGTCATTAAGACACTTGACATACGTTGAGGTCTTAAGCCAGGAAAGCATATGAAGGTAATGAGATGGAGTCGCTCCATTCAGTCGCACTAAATGCTCGGTAGACCGCGATGGCATCAACCAACCAATAAAGTCAAGTCGGAAAAGCAGCTGCAAAACAACAGCAGGATATTAACTCGACAATCCCAAACGCATTCATAGCGCGGGCTTCGCAAACTTCCGTAGGAAGGTACCTAGCGTCGCTCAGGAGACGAGAACAAAAATAAACCAACACAGTGATGTCGCACTTAATTTCAACTCTACCGTGTCAAATGTAAAATCTGGTAGTGCATCTAACCTGTCAAATGGAGCTTGGCTGCTCGGGAACAGTTCGTGACAATGATGTTCAAGTGTGCTCCCTAGTATGCTGTTCAACTTGTGTACATGTCATCCTTATAAGTAGCATCTTTAGCAAGTTTCGAATAAACCGCTGGTGTCTCACTGGACAGCATCATCTGTTCATTCATGCGCAAGAGAGCAAAGCCCGGTTGTTCAAAATAATTTGAGTAGTTTAAGTCGACACGTCAGTGTATGAGGATTATCATCTAGTGGTTAATTCAGCTACCCTCACAGGAGTGTCCTGATTCCGTAGTCTATGAGAATACCCTGAATGTGATATGTCACTTTAAGCGAATTCCAAATGAGATTTGGTGATGCACATTTAATGTCCCTCGTTTTCACAGTCACAAGTCAATTGCCGATTTCTTCTGTCAGCATCCTTCAAGTGGAGACAGCTTGGCTGAGATTCGAGCTGATAACCTCGTGAGTGCAGACTGAAGGGATAGGTTATCCGATTCTGTGGGCAACGTATGCAACAATCGGTAGGGATTAAGATGGACTGGATTGCGCCCCAAGAGTTGTTAGTTGACGATGGCGAGTTCAGTCTAACTGCCGCAGTAGCCAGATCATTGAGCGTAGAGTGCTTCGTGAAGGATAACACGACAGTCGCAACATCAACAGTACACCGGTACTTTGTATGGATGTATCACCTGCATAAGATCCCTAAAACTGGGCGCTTACAACAAGTTTGTGTTTCGGTTTCGAGGATGAGATGGAATATATCCAAGTCATAGTAATCACCAAAAGGTGTATACGAAATTGTACGCAATCACCTAGGCAAAAGGGCGCGCATGCGATGGACTCGCGCAATCAAGGGCACCTGAGGGCATGTTAATCTGAATTTTCGGGACCAGTGAAGTGACATAACTTGGCGGGCAGCAAACAGTGTTTGATTTTGCGTTTCACGGATAAAATGCAGCAATCAGCGGCGGGCTTTGAAAAAAAAGTTTCATCTCAATCTAGTGAGGTTGTCTGAAAACTGCTTTCTCTGAGTGTATAAGACTTTGTCATCAGCGTCGCAAGAAACGCAGAGGCGAGGGCGTGTACCTTGTGAAACGCGTGCCGGATGATTGACAACCGCTCTAGTTAGCTCGACTGAAAGCAATAAGTGGCTGACGGCCGAATATGTAGGAAACACAGATGCAGCAATACCACTGACAGACGCTGTAGATACATTACGTAGTCGGCAGTGACAGGTCCGGGTGATGAGGAACTGCAATATCCCGGAATGATTGCTTAGGGAGTAAATCTGGATGTTCCGAAATCTATTCATGGCTAGAAAAATCGATTTGGTCCAGATAGTCCAATGCGGTTGACGATCCGAAAATCAATCGATTCGTGTACCTGGACATCCGTCATCATGATTGTGTTACACAGCAAGGATGAGAAGAAATAATAGAGATAAAGCCCAAGTCAAACAAGAAAACTTAATCGAAAAGGATCGAAAAAGTTAGAATCACTGAGAGGGAGAACTCATGGTTGGAACCGAAAGACAGTCAATGAATTTCTGTGTGCTCTAGGTCAGATAGCATCCCTACTTACCGAAGCGGTTAACCTCTAGTCGCTAACCATCCAAGTGCACCGTGCGCACTAATCGTAAACGTATCTTGTCGGTCATCGTTGTTATGCACAGATTGCATTGTCAAGGTACGGTCCCGACAGTTCGCCATGGTGGCAGGCGGCCCATGCCATGCTTGACAACTAGTAAGTATACGATGCACATGAGCTAACATTAATGGTTACGATTCGAACTACGGCACAGAGAGGCGAAATCTATTGACTGCTTTTGTGGGTTGAGGCAACGAGCAACCACAGCAGGTCCGGAGCCGTGCAACGTTTAATACAGTGGCCAGACCGGTCGCAACCGAAACGTCAACGCCTTTTAACAACGAAGGAGTGTTCGTGAGTATAGACGCCTCGTTCGACTTCAAACGTTCAAGAAGGAATGCTGTAATGTAGTGCAAGCATCATTATCATCGTTACACATTAGATGAAGATGAGAAACACACTTCAACTATTGTGCCGCAGGAAAATGATGACATATAGGAAAAAGCCAGATGCTAAGCACTACAGAATACAGAAAAGGAAAACCGGTAACATACTGTCCAGTAACACATTGTCACAATAAAAAAATTCCGTGGTTAGAAGAGGACAATAAGCGGAAGAGGAAGGCACTAACTCACAACACAAACGAAACTGGGATCGGATCCTTGCCAAGTCAACAAGTGTATCCAACCAGATGCGTTCATCGTCCTTCGGTTCCCCGTCTAGCAGTCAGTCAGGGGACACCAACCGACGCCCACTTCGAAGTTAGGTTCTTCATGCTTCTTGACCAACTCACCGTCTGGCTTTGTATCGTCTTTCTTCTATCCACACCCCGGTCGTGCAAACAACACACGACGCAGGAGTCGGTGTGTTGGCATGCGCAACACCTGGGCCAGTCATCGGAGCCTGACATGTGAAAAAATGGTGCTGAGTGATTCGCTAGCTCTTTCTGCATCAAATAAACGAAGCCGAATACGCTCATTGCTCACGCGGTGTTCCCATAAGATATCAGCAAGGTTGCGAAGGCAGTGATAGTCGAACTTAGCTAGCCTTTACGTCCGTCGACATGATGGGCCAGGTTTGGCAAACGTACACGAGGGTTGAACGGACGACTGTATTGTAAACTCTGCTCTTCACAGCGTCGGTGATGTCGCGCCGGGCGTAACAGGTGGCGAAGGTTAGCAAAAGCACATCGAGTTTTCGCTATACTGTTCGTGATGTCATATTTCATTCCTTTGGCTTTGATATAGCTGCCTAGATATATGAATTTCTCGATGACTTCCAGCTGATCACCAGCAACGGTCAGCGTAGGGTTGGGTCTCTGCAAATTATGGAGGACTTTGCATTTCAATGGTGCAAAGAATAGCCCGAAACGACTGACAGCCAATGCTAATCTGTCCACTGCTATTTGGAACGTATCGGAGCTGTCACAGCTAAGGGCAATGTTGTCGGCGCATTCCATGTCAAGAAGTCGGTCAGCTGAGAGAAGGTCCACGTCTTGCAGGTCGCGTCCGATGAACGCAGTCTCCATGAATTCGTCGATGTAGAAGTTAAAAAGGTAAGGTGAAAGCGGGCGTCTTTGTCTCACATCGCTTCAGACATTGAAGGGCGCCGATAGTTTGCCATAAGCCCACACGCAACCCGAACTATGCACGTACAGCGTTTGGATAATGTTTAGGTATTTTTCAAGCACACCTTTCCTGAGCAGACAGTCCAAAAGGGTATATCGATCAACCGAACCGAAGGCATCTTTGATTTGGAGGCTCGCCAACAAATATGGCAGTACTCCAACAATCGACGTAATGAGAAGATGTGATCAATCCAGCCGCAACTCCGCAAAACTCGGTTGGTTCCTCACGAATCTGTCATTCTCGGGTGTCAGCAAATCTATGAGGAACGGCAGAGGCGAGTACCTCAGGGGCAATCGAGATCGGACTGATCCCTCTTTGATTGCCGCATTAGAAACGTGAGCCGCCCTTGAAAATGAAAACTAGTAGGGAGCGGCTCCAATCTGCTGCTCCAACAGTCGCATAAGTAAGCTGTGCAGATCATCTACAAAAGCAGGCCCCAGAATTTGAAACAGCTGGAGGAAGTCTATTTTCCCCTGCGGCTTTATTCAATTTCAACAGTCTGATCTCGCGTTCTACTTCTGTGCGTGATGGTGGATAAAAGGGGACGGCCCAAGCAAAACGTCAGGAAATGCCTGAAAAGGAGTATGGTAATACATATTGATTAAACTGCTGTTCAGACTGTTCGACCAAACGCTCCAAGATTTTGGACAAATTGTGGATTGAGTGTCCACTCTCATCACGTATGGTCTCGCTAACACCAGGTCTCCCGCCCGTTTCGTGTATCAAAAGGAATAACTTGCAATGGTTACCAACGGCAGTGGTCATTTCCATCTCCGATGCACGATAAGACCACCAGGCTTTGCAGTCTCTCTTCAGGCTAGTACGCAGTTTTGTCCTGAGATCTTTGCGAGTTTCGTTGTGTTCGGTTTTATCCAGAACAAGTTGGTGAGCATCCAACAGTGCCAGAGACCGCTTAGAACCCAATGTCCAGGTTGGAAATCTGGTTTGCCGTATGAAGACACCTGCGAACAGGTAACGCTAACTTACACTGCGAAATGCAACGTACAATATTCAGACAAACTGAACCGATAATGATTAGATTATTTATTGTTCTCAGCAATTATCCCACTTATCGATTGAGAGAGAGCAACAGCGGAACTAATCAAAACTTGCTCCTGTCACATGGTTACGTTTAAAGGGAATGTGGACACTCTAAAACTGGTTTTCAGACGAATC